CACATCCAATACAACCACCACATCCAATACAACCACCACATCCAATACAACCACCACATCCAATACAACCACCACATTCAATACAACCACCACGTTCAATACAACCCACATGTACAACTGAAAATAATTCAATGACTCAAGAGCAAATGACTGAACAAGTTAAAAACAAAAAAATTAAAGTCAACAACTGTCATTGCAGCAAAACTAACTGTAAAAATAAGAGCTGTTCATGCTGCAAAAACAATGCATTATGTACTAGACGTTACGGCTGTATATTACGAGGTACATGTAATAAACATTAATTTGAACTATAACATTAGTTGTCATTAGAATTATTGACGGGTTACTTGTTTGCAATATCACCATAGCTAAAATTCAAATTTCTTATAGTTTGAATCTATATACCGTTGTAATAAATATTGCAGAAAATTATTAAAATTATCATACCAACATGTAATGCTGAAAAAATATTAAAATAAATTTGACATGAATTTCTTTTCTTTTTTTCTTTTTTTTTTATCTATTTATTTTTTTTACCATATTTTTTTTGATTTTTTTTTACATTTTTTTTAATCGGTATCATAATATACCGATCATGATATAACATATGTCAGATTATGATTTCAAAATGACTTATGTTAATTTAGAATTAACATGAATTCCAAAGCGACGTATAACATTTACATTTCTGTATATAGAGTTGGCGTTGAATTACGCAGATTAAAATAAACATGTCATAGAAACTTTATATTCTGATTTATAGCTCCAGTTGAGTTATCAGCATACATCATGTACTTACCCTGATAATGTGTTATGTATAGAGGTGTGATTACAATGCCGTAATGTGTCATAATTCCATTGAATTACGGCATCTTTTGCCGTAATTCAATGGAATTACAACAAATTACAACAAATTACAGCATTGCGTTACATTTCTAGATATGCACGTACCTGTAAATAACTAGATTAAAGCCAAAAATCAGGATACAAAGTTTTTATGATATTTACTCGTTATGTTTTGTTTTAACTTTGGAACTTTATTACAGATATTATAATCGTATGATGACACTGTGACAACATTTTGTACTAAATTAGTCATCGATTAACTCTTTCCCTTAAAGCTGTTAAAGAAATATTAATAAACCCATGTAACATTATTGTCAAATTCGTGATTTATCCCGTATAAAGAAGTATAGCATGTCTATAATTATTCAAAATTAAAGCTAAGCCTTACCATTATGTACATGTAACATAATGTAAATAATAAATAGATTTAATTGTTTTACAATTTGACTGGTCTGATTAATATATTGTTTCCTTTATTCTTATTTTTGCTTCTTTAGAAAAACAAATCATAGTGAACATGGAACAAGCAAAGTTAACTAGTAAAGATACAGAGAATAGTGCCAAAAACTTCTTTATCTCAGCAATCAGATGCCTACGTTTTCAGGAAGCTCACACTTGACTATACAAAAAAAAAAACGTATTGACAGAAAGCGTGGCAGTAACTCCATCCAAAGTTCAAAACTACAAAGATCAAAATATATATTACAGCACTCAAATACAAAGATGAGAATGAATACGAAGATGAATTTTATTGTCCTCGTAACAATAACATTCTGGATGATGCTTCTGGATCAAAAAATTTTCAATTTCCTTCTGTGAAATTTGGAAAGCTTTCTCCTCTTTCTCAACAGAAAAAGATGGTAGCTTCTATAACTTTTCTACTCCAAAAACATTGAAAACCACTGCCGTTGTTGCTCAATATGGGAAGGTGATATTAGAGGTCAGAATAGGTTGTAAATTTTAAGACCCGAATTGGATTTAAGTTAAACCGGGTGAATTTAAACCGAATTATAATCGGGTCGCATTATGTAATATGATATTATTTAGTTAGTTGACCGACAATAATCTTGATTGGCAAAATCATTTGTGAAATTTTAACATTTCTTCGATTAAATCAATTCACAATAAAATGGTTGGCAAAATCATTTACATTGTTCACGTGAAATTTTAACATTTCTTCGATTAAATCAATTCACAATAAAATAATTCTTCATATAACCGGATTAAGATATTAGAAAACCGATTTACAGCTGTTCTCATAAATTCTGGGCAACTGATAAAAATTTGATCTGCCAAATTCGAATTCGGAATTGGATTTTCGGCATTACAGTAATTTGATAACACCGAATTCAAAAACTTATCGAATTCAGCCAATCAATTTTCTAGAATTTATGAGAACAGCTATAATATTACAGATGTTTTCATAAATTTCTGGAAAAAATTAACCGACCGAATATTTGCCGATTCGATAAGTTTTGATTCGGCAGTGATAAACTTTTGATTCGGATGTAATCACATTCGAATCGGCAAATATTCGGTCGGTCAATTTTTGCCAGATTTTCCAGAATTTATGAAAACAGCTAGAAATCGGGTTAACCCGAATTTATACCCGAATTTTATTAACCTGTTCCTCCTCTAGGTGACATCAGTCATTTCAAAAAAGACAATGCAATCCTCACATAAAGAAAACTATTTTATTCAAGATCGCAATAAACAAGGGCATTTGATATTTTATATCATATAGAATTCAGTACAATCAATACAAAAACATGGTTATTGGGAATGCACTAGGTGTGAGAAAACAAAACTGTATTTAGAAATTAAAAACGATTTGGACCAGAATATTACGGTCTAAAACCTTACTATCTAAAACCTTACAGTCTAAATCTCTTAAGAATAGATCTTGCAAGAGCCGCGATTGCCATAGAAAATTTTCTATCACAAGTTTTCGCATATATAATCACAATTGATAAATTTTAAAGTAAAACCTATAAATGAAGTTATCTGTCGTCTACAATGGAGTAGGTATTTGGTAGTGGGAATGTTCAAATTGCAACCATTTTGAGAAAATGCTTATACTTGGATATCGCTACAAAAGTTTATTAAATTAGATCGAAAACTGACTTTTGATAATTATTGCATGAAAGAATAGGTAAACTGATTATTTCAGGTCATGTATCATATAGTCATAAACAAATTAGAATTGCATATGTATTATTCAACAATGGGTCTAATCACAAACATAATCATTAATAATTTTAATATAAAAGAGGTCTAAAATACAATCTCTTTTTCTTTTACAAACTAGCACTAATGGATCAACAAGGTCACAAGAACAAAAAAATATGAGCTTGGATTATGTTAAAAGGTAGAAGATTACTTGGATACTTCTACTATTCTATTTTCGAAGTTTTAATACCAAGAGTACTTTATATATTTATTTTTTATTTTTTTTTATATAGTATCATGATAATAAAAATAATATTAATGATGACTATCTTATCTATTCCTATTTTGTACTTATTATTATTGCTATCTAAGGAATACTGCGTATTTCAGTAATGTTGGAAATTTTTATTATCTTTATGACTTTGAAAATCTTTATCATTATGATTTTCGTGATTTTGTTGATCCTGAGGATATTTAGAATTGTACCATCTTAGAACCATAGTAACCATCAAGGTATATTTTACGCTTTCACAACATGCTCTAAATTACATAAACCATAATATTAAACAAACTTTATTAAAAATTAAATTAATTATTTAATAAAAAAATAATAAATGTTATATAAAATAGTTAAATTAAAATCTTTAGAACAAAAAAAATTCTATTATATTTAAAAAAGATTTAAAACTGTTAATTTTTTTATAAAACAAAATGCTAAAATATAATAAAATTTAAAAATTAGTAAATCTAGTTTAAAAGACATAATAAATCTAACACAAAGTACTAAATCTAGTACACGAAATCTAATCTATTAAAATTTAAAACTTGAAAATTTTGAGCCAAAAGCAACGCCCGAACCTCTTTTATAGTATTATTCAATTATTTTTAATTCATTTAATCCACTGACTATAAAAAAATTATAAAATAATATTAAAAAATGCACAATAGTTATTATTAAGAAACACAAATTTATCATTTTATTACCTTGATATTCAGAATCATATGAAATAAAATTACTTTTATATCTTGATTCAATACCTATTTGAATATTTTTTATATTTTGTAATTTTTTATCTGATCCAGATAATTCTAATAAAATATTTTCACTATTCTGCCATTCTACAAAAATATCGCAAATTTCAGCTGCCGTTGGTCGTTTTTCTGGGTTTATATTCCAACATCGCTTCATTAAATCTTCATAGAATATTGCTGTATGTTTATAAATATGTGGTTGTAACCCCTTACATATCTCCATTTGAAGTTCGAATTGAGATTTGAGGTCGGATCTTTCTTCAAAATTTATAGGTATACCATATAAAATTTCCCACATGATTATGCCAAATGAATAAACATCAGATGATTTAGTATATGGCTGTTTGTTTAAAACTTCTGGAGCAATCTATGGTAAAATCCCATAAATTCCATTATTTTTCGATTTTGAAGCAATCTTAGCAGTTATTGAAAGTCCTAAATTGCAATATATGCATTTTTAAAGTCATCTTATAGAATATTTCCACTATGTAAATCCTGATGAATAAGATCTTGAGAGTGAATTATCTGAAGATCAGTTGCAATACATTGTAGTAAATTTAACTTATCTTTCCAATCCATTTGTGCTACATTATCTAGATTCTTGCGCAAACAACCTTTTGAAGCATATTGCATGACGATAATATAATCCTTGGATGAATTATCTTTTGATATACCCAAACATTTTAAAAAAGTTGGATCTTTAAGACTAATTTCACAATATGCTTGTAGCTTATTATTTACAAATATATGTCGAATTATTAATATAATGATAAATTGAGAATTATATAATTAACAAAAATATTCACCTCTTTGATAAATTCTTCACGACGATTATTTGAATTATGAAGTAATTTCAACGCAACATCACCGTAATAATTTTGAGATTCATTATACCATATAGCGTAATATACAGTTGCAAATCCGCCTTTACCTATCTCTTTGATATCGGTAAATTCATTGTAAGGAATCCATGATAATCGATATTTATTTTTGATCAATATTTTTTTCAAATCATCTTCAATTTCAGAATTTTCATGTATCCATTCATTTGAAGCTAATAATTAAATAAAAAAAATCTAGTCAACTTTTGCTTATAAACGAATTAATATTAATATGGTTGATGATAAATTAATTGCGGCAGAAAATACCTGAAGTTAAATCATTTGCCCTAATTAATGAGTCAAATATAAATTTATTAGTAAATATATCGATATATATTAGTAATGAATATTTAATAGCGCTGGAAGAATGTGTAATTAAATAATTCCAGGGTAGGGTCGATTTACGGTCATATGACGACCTAAAAAACCAGTAAGTATCAGGTGTAACGTACGTACATATGTACGTAGGTACTCGTGTAATTTGTATTATTTATGCTAATTGTTTTTGTAACGTACGCTCGAAGATTCTTATGTTTCCAAAAAATTACACTCCTTGATGAATAAAATTCATACCTAATCTAAAACTACAAAGTCATCTATTCTGTTTTTGCAAATTGAGTTGCATAATATGATTTTTGCGATTTGGACGTCTTTGATAGCTTGCACCATATAATTTTACTGCCTATAAGTTTCTAATTCAGATAATTCAGATTCATAACTTTAACAAAGTAAAAATATGATTTTTGAGGTTATCACATGATCAACATTTGATCGTACACCTATATCGATATAATGTAATTTATCGCGGTTTTTCAAAATGATTATCTTGACATATGGGTCATAGATCATTTGCCCTTGTTTATCAGTTTTAAAAGACAAAAAAATCGGCCCATATGATTAAATTTTGTAGATTGCAACCAACATTACAATCATCTGATTACTCGTTTTCTAAACCAAGGATTATATTTTTCTTTTTTTTTGCTTATTGCGATGATGCTTCAGATAACTATCAGGTGATTACAATCTCCAAAGATGCATAATTTCCAAATGGCTCAGTTCAAAAAAAAGAATTCTAAGATCAGAAATAAGATTAAATCAAGACAATCTCAATTTTTTTTAGTCAAAAATTGTTTGACTTAAAAATTTCATGAATAATTTTTTATACTCCAATAAAAGAAACTTTCTTTTGCAAAATTTTAGATTAACTATTGCTCTTAGAAATTGATTGTCGCAATATATACGCACAAATGATTAAAATTTACTTTTGATACCAAGATCTGGCTTTTTGTAAATCTCTTTCTGTTCCAAATCCATTTCGATAACACTCTGCAATTTTTAGCATCCCACTAACGTCTCCCATTTCTGCAGATTTTTGATAATAAACAAATGCCTTACGTTCATCTTTTTCAACACCAATTCCTTTTTCATAACATTCTCCACAATTATATATTCCTAGAATGAATCCCATATCTGCAGATTTTTGATAATAGATAAATGCCTTGTGTTCATCTATTTCAACTCCAATTCCTTCTTCATAACTGACTCCAGCATTATATATTCCCCTAACATCCCCCATATCTGCCAATTTTAGGTCATGAATGAATGCTTTCTTCTCATCCTTTTCAACCCATCTGCCATGAGCATAACAATATGAAATAATGATTTGAACTGTAGGATCGACTTTATCTTTACAGTAATTGATAAGTTGGATAGGATCTTGCTTCTTTTGTATTAGAAATTGTTCTAAAGTATCAAATATTAAATTGTGTCTTTTGTCTTTCAATTTTTCTTCATTATACAGGTTACACATTGCTTTCACAATTTCATTAAGAAAATCTTGTGACTTGCTATCTTCAAAATATGGTTGGGTAACATCGTTCGCTAATTGAATAACATCTGGGTAATTATCTATTTTTTCTGGCTTTTTTAAAAATAGGATATTTGAAATTAGCATTTTAATATAAGAAATATTAAGTTTAACCAAATTAGGCCATGCAAAATTTATTAATTGATTTTCATAACCCGGCTGGGTTAGAATTCGAAAGCTTGATAAAATTTTTTTTTATCTTTTAATAACAAGGTGAGTGTTTAAAAAATTTTTATGAAATTTTTCTAAACTTTTATAGATGAAATCTTTTTTTTTAAAAAAAAGAAGCCAACTAGGTCTGTTTAAAAATTTCATGAAAACAAAAAAATTAAATTTGTATGGCTTTTGGTTAAAATTCGTTTAGATTACCTTTTCAGAACTCTTACAGCATTTAAAATTTCGTATTCTCAATTTTTTCAGACAACATTTAATAATTTTTATGAACATTAATTGTTAAAAAAAATGTTCTCTAATTAAAAACTTGGCAAATTTTTTATTGATTTTTAGTACTGAAAAAAATTAATTTATTAGAATATTAAAATTTTGAGATCATAATTCAAAGAATAATTTTTCAAAAATATATATTTGAATTTTAAACGCTAATATAGGTAAACACATTGACAATACATTTTATTATTAAAGAATCATTTATGCCATCCTTTTTTATGGGATCAACTTTAATATTAATACAATTTTAGATCGCGTTTAGTTTCAAGTCATTCGTGTTAGAAGAGGTTCTCATGTAAATTTAGTAAAGACATGTATGTTGATGGAGATCGTCTAAAATAGATTTTCTTATTTACATGTGATATTAAGTTTTATTCTCACAATAGATATATCAAAAAAGACTAATGTGCGTGGACATTTCATGTAAGTGTATGAACTATATTAAACAGCAAATTAGTAATTTGAAGACATCAAAGAACCCCAGCTTTTAAAAGAATGCTATTATTAAAAAGTAATATCAATCGAACAATGTCAAAACATTCATCTCGAGTAATGCTATTACGTTGTATGTTATTATTTGACGTTAGTTTTTAAGTTTATATATTAGAGTTATAATAGTAAAATAAATATAGTATCAATGGATATAAGATTTCCGCAAGAAAAATAACGGATAATCCATTTAAATAATATTGAATCAGTTGGATATAGTCCTCCCGATTGCTATTCTACATTAGGCCACACAAACGTATATAATTGAATTTCATATCCTGCCAGGTCAGCAGAGCGAGAATCCAAAAATTTTTAACACATCATGTGGGAAAAAAAAGTTAATCATTGAGTTCTTGTGAAATAGTGTCAGTTTCAGTTTCTAATTTCATTCTAATTTTCTTTTTTTTGTATTGATTTATCTACATGATACCGTCTAAATACTAATCAACGAAATAGAATATAAGCATAAATGAAAGCACAGGTACTCGATCTCAATTAATAATAATGAAACTTATTGTTACTAGCACTCTTAATATGTAATTTGGACTAATACACTTAAGTTTGCTTCAAAAAAGAACATAATCATCATTGATGTTCCTCTTAGCATAATTACAAAAATCTTATTTTCTCGACATCTGTTTTACCTACAGCTCATTTAACCGACATCACTTAGCGCTTATAGCTTAAATAGGTGTTGGTAAATTGGGGTAAATCTATCAAAATCAGATCGTTATGAATATTAGCTAAATAGAAAGATAACAGGAGGAAACGTTGATGTTACACGATTGATTTTACACACGGTGTGAAACACATAAAAAAATCATTTTTTTATGTGTTTCACACCGTGTGTAAAATCAATCGTGTAACATCAACATTTCCTCCTGTTTAGAAAGATACAATTAAAAAACAGCATAAAATATGTAGTAAAAGAATCCAAAAAAAAAAGTTTCTAAGGCAAGTTTATTGTTGTCGGAAATTTGGATGATGCGCAAGCCTCCTAAAACTTTTATGCCAATCAATCGATTTCCGCACCGTAATTTACCCGAATCAGCATGATAAGAGCTTTTTTGATTGACTATTTATTTTATATTAACCAAGGTACTGTTACACGAGTTTTTATATTATTTTACAATAGAAATTTTAATCTAGATAAGAAGTACAGAAATGTTTATAATTCAAGTTATCAAAATTTTGTTAGATTGTCTTTTAAACACTTGGCTTTCATATAAACGTTTGGGATCAAGCGGGATTAAGTTCTCCACCATCTTTTATTATAAGTGACTTTGACAATATCAATACGATATCATAGCTATGAATTTTTTGGCTTTTAAAGTGAAATAAGGCCTATTTAAATAAAATTTCGATTAACATTCATTTCGAAGCTTAAGCGTAGTTAGAGGAGGGGTCAAATTAAACACAATATAATATTTCAAAAAATTTTACATTATCATTGGTTGGTTTATAGTCACGTGATCATTGAAATCTCAAAGACGTAATGGACGTCCTGGTTGATTTAATTTCATGAGGGAGCTTTTGAAGGCGGTGTAGGAAGAATTTTAAACGAAGTTCCAACTTCAACCGGATTAACAAGTAAAAAAATTTCTTTAAATAGACATTTTTAACTTCCCATAAGAAAGATAAAATGCACAAAATCAATAATTTTACAAAATATTATAAAAGTACTGGAGTTAACTCTTACAGAGTGATACTCAAAATTTCAAATTGGAATATGTTAAAATAAGTAGCCGGCAACGTTGTCACGCGAAACTAGGACGGAAAAGTAGTAAATTACAATGCTAAATACTAATGAAACCAAACAATTGGTGAGTCTGTTATACAGCAAAGACAGTGCCTAATCCAAAATGAATCCCTCTCAGTTACAGTTTAACTTCCCGAATCCATTTTTCTGAAATACCATTTCACCGAAGTCATAATACCGAAAATCCATTTTTGCTAAAAGACAGAAATAGGTCTAAGTCATTTCACCAAAAATCAATTAACCGATAAGTTTAATTATTTCACTGACAGATCATTTCACAGACAAGTTTTATTATTGCACTTTTCGAATTACTGTGATTAGCATACTTCACGTATCACACTGGGAATCAGAAATTTAAAATAATGCAAATCTGTGATTGGTTGGAAATATTTTTTAGCCAATCATATATTTATATTTATTTAAGATTTCTGATTTCCAGTGTGATACATAAAACTTGCTGATTACAATAATTTGAAAAGTGCAATAAAAATTACACTAACCTTAACTTTAATTCTAAACCTGTCATTAATGACAATACCAGAATTACTTTGTTAGTAAATGACTGTCTGTTAAATAAACTATAAGTGAAATACATTTGTTGATTAATTGATATTCAGTGAAATGACATTGACCTATTTCTGTCTTTTTAGTAAAATGAATTGTCAATATTACAAGTTCAGTGAAATAGTTATTAGAAAAATAGGTTTCAATAAAGTGAGCAACAAACTAATAATTTTTAGAAAATTTATAGAGACATTTTGGTGTCAAAGTAAATTATAACACAATCTAAATAGTTTGTATCAATGATTTTGGTTATAAGAAAGTCAATGGCTTGTTGTCAATCAAGTTTGTCAATATTATGATTTTGTATAGCAATTTTTTGATAAGTTTTAAATATTGATAAAAATAATAGTTTCATCATTTAGGATTTGTTTTAGTTTGATTATTGACACATATGAACTTCTCAGTTTTGGTTACAAGATTATCAAGAAGTTGTGTAGAGATTTTTTCTTAAAAGTGGTTTAATGTTTGACACTAATATAAAAAATTGAAGTATGAATGTTAGGTTGTTTTCAAATTTTATTTTTAGTTTTTGAATATTCTGAATAGGATTTATTTAGAATTTCTTTAAGAAGATTACTATAGTCATATATATATTAGTAATCAAGTTAATTATTGCTAAATGTAGTCTCTTTTGCTTTTATTTTTTCTTTTCTTTAAGTTTTGTTTTATCAAGATGTATATAGTTAGAGTCAGTATATGTATATATATAATAATTAGCATGTCAGATAGTCTCATTGTATTGTTGTTAAAGATTGTAAAATTCAATAAAAGAAATTTCAGTTGGAAGAAGTTCTTTGAAATGTTTAATGAATTGTTGTTGAAATTAAAACCTTAGTACATTTATAACTTTAGTTTCATTGAAAGGTTCAGTAAAATAGTGGTTGTCTAAGAGAAAGAATTTTATAAACTAATTATTAAAATGATCTACAGAATTATTAAGTAATAAGATATTGTACTTTTCAAGCAAAAAGTTTTAGAAATTTTAAAAAGAAGATGAATGTTAAATCAGTTATCTATTTTAATATTTAGATTTGTTTTTCTTTATTAGTTGTTATTACAAATAAGCTAACAGTAAATTTTTTAGATTTAAGTTTAATATCATTAACCAATTTGGTATAATTAATAGATTAGTAATTATTAGATAAATAAAGATACAATCTAACAAGATTAATACAAAATTGTAATTGGTTTTGAGTTCTATATGAAGAAACAGTAATAGAATGTAACAGTCCACTGTAACAAGCCCGTGACTCTGAAACGTGACCCACCCGTCGTGACCCATCATGACCTGCCGTGACCCTTCTCAGATAACTCCCAGTGTATTAATAATGAAGTCATTAATAAAGAAGTAATTTACCGTAGCATTAGTGGCATGATCAAATGCATAAATTATGTAGTCATTGATAATAGAATTTGTAGTTAAAAATAATATGCACATAAATTATGTAGTTATAAATTAGTATGTATACAAGTATTAGAAATAGTATCATAAAAGTATAAAAAAGCATTACAAACCTCTATGTACAAACTAGTCTGTTCAATAAAGCTGCCCCAATCTTGTAATCAAGTTTCACTTCTACCTTGTACTTAAACCCTTCCTGGTTCTATATCTAAATATCGCTCCTGCCTTGTACTAAGGTCTTTTCCCTGTCCTGATCCTTGTTGAATTCTATTTCGGAAATCGGGATCTTGACAGTTTGAACAGACTACTATTACAGGTTCTGGCTGCCAAGCTGAGCCCAACTTTAACTTGCAATTAAATCAACAAGTATCTGCCTCTTTGGCATCTTATATCTTAGCTCATCCGCCACCAGCTTACCATGCACTTAAAAATAAAATAATAATCAAAAAAAAAAAAAAAAAATGAAGAGCCAACCTGACCTTAACGATATATTGATTGCTTTAAACCAACTCCAATTAGACAGCCAAACACTCCATCAGGAAAATGCAGACTTAAAGAATACTCTCAACCAACTTCATGCTCTTGGAGAGATGAATGGCCAATATAGAGAACCCAAAGTGAGCCTCCTAGACAAATTTGATGGTACATGAAGCAAATTCAGAGAGTTCTTGAATCAAGTTCATCTTGTCATACAGTTGCAACCAAATCACTACCCCAATAACCAAACGCAAGTAGGACTTCTTGGAAGTCTGCTCATGGGATCAGCTCTTGCATGGTTTGCCTCCCTGCTAGAAAAACAATCAGAACTATTGGATGACTTTGATATGTTAGTTAAAGAACTTAAGGCAATGTTTGGTGATGCCGATAAGGCCAGAACAGCCACCAATAAGATACGAAAACTCATTCAGAGATCAAGACTGGCCTCAAGTTATGCTTCAGAATTTAGGCAAATTTCTGGTGATTTAGATTGGAAAGAAGCCACATTGATCGACCAATTCAGAACAGGTTTACGAAACAACATAAAGGATTTACTTCTTATCTTGGAAGACCCCATTTTACTAAATGATGCAATTTCAAAGGCAGTACATTGTGATAACTGACTGTTTGAATGTAGACAGAAATGTCCTAGAGACCCGAGTTCTGGAAGATATTTTAATCAAGTCCCCAATAGCTCATCCATCTCTACCACAGAACCCATGCAAATAAATGCCATAAAATATAGGCCATTGTCTGCCAAAGAGAAAGAACAGCATCGTGCAAATAACCTTTGCTTATAATGTGGAGAACCAGGCCATATGGCTAGAAATTGCTTCAACAAAAGCAACACTCAGCCTAAAATTAACTCAATCGTGATTCCTAAGGAGTTTTCGGGAAAAGAGCAACCCCAGTCGCAGTAAGGGGGCTTTGGCCGGATCAAGGCATTAGGTTACCTCAAAAAATCCTACCACCTAACCTGCTACAGACACACTCACTTTCAAACTATGTTTAAGCTTACTGAAAGGACACAAAGTGAACATCCTGGCACTGATTGATTCAGGCACATCAGCTTGCTTCTTAGATATTATATTTGCCAAAAAACATAATATAAGCTTTCAAAAAAAAGAAACACTGTTAACGGTAGAGGTAATCAATGGGCGAAAGATCTCTTCGAGGAATGTCACGCATAAAACAGGACCACTATCTCTGAACTCTCAAGACCACTACAAGAATTGTCTTTTAACCTTATTCCTTCCCTCTACTATCTAGTGATCCTGGGCTTGCCATGGCTAATCCTACACAATTCCACAGTTAACTGGCATGAGTGTTCTATTACTTTTACAGATCTATTGTGTAAGGTGCATCATCTAAACCCAAGGACCCCAATAAAGGCTAACTCCACACAAGAACAACTATACGTAGTTCAAGTCTTTACTACACTAGCATCTAGTCCTAACTCCATAAACATTCCCTTTGTCCCCAAAAAATACTAGGATTTCAGTGATGTCTTTAACAAAATAAAAGCTGATAAATTGCCTGTGAATAGGCGGTACGACTGCGCCATCGATTTGCTGCCTGATACACAACCACCATGGGGTCCCATCTATGAACTATTCACCCAAGAGCTTGAAGTTTTAAGGAAGTATATCGAGAAAAACCTGGAGAAAGGGTTTATTCGTCACTCCAAATCTCCAGCTGGTGCACCCATCCTCTTTGTCAAAAAAAAGGATGGGACCCTGTGGATGTATGTGAACTACCGGGGTTTAAATTGAATCACCATTAAGAACCGTTATCCTCTTCTACTGATACCTGAACTCCTTAATAGGCTTGCTAGTGCTCAGGTTTTTACCAAAATTGACCTAAGAGGTGTCTATAATTTGGTTCGCATTAAACCAGAAGATGAGTGGAAAACTGCATTCCGTACTTGTTATGGACACTTCGAGTACTTGGTGATGCCCTTTGGGCTCATGAATGCCCCAGTGGTATTCTAACACTTAATGAATGATATCTTCAGGAATTATCTGAATCAATTTGTAATTATTAATTGGACGATGTTCTAATATACTCTTCAAGTTAAGAAGAACACACTCAACATATACAGCTTGTACTGCAGCACTTACGACAACATGGCCTCTATGCAAAATTAGAAAAATGTGAGTTTGATAAGGAAACTATAGATTTTCTAGGCTATCGTATAACACCTGAAGGGGCCCAGATGGACCCAAGTAAGGTGGAAAGCCTCCTTACTTGGCCCGTTCCAATCTCTGTTAAAGAAGTACAAAGATTTTTGGGATTTGCCAACTACTATCATCATTTCATTAAAGGTTATATGCAAACAGTCACTCTCTTAACGAACTTAACTCGGAAATCAAAAAAGCTATCATCAAACATTTGCTGGCCAGCGGCTGCCCAAGAGGCCTTCACATTTCTAAAAAAAGCCTTTACTTCAGCCCCAATTTTGATCCAAGCTAACCCAACAAAGCCTTATGTCTTAGAAACGGATGCCTCAGACTACACTCTTGGAGCGGTTCTCTCACAGCACAACAAAAAAGGTCTCTACCCTGTCGCATATTATTTCCAAAAATTCACCCCTACTGAGATAAATTACAACATTTATGACAAGGAACTGCTTGCAATAGTAGCAGCTCTTAAACACTGGTGTCATTACCTGAAAAGCACTCAACATAAAACTATTATCTACTGTGATCATAAGAACCTGAAGTATTTTATTACAGCGAAAACTTTGAACCGCAGACAAGCCGGATGGTCTCTCCTCCTCTCAAACTATGATTTTGAAATAGTATTTCAAGCTGGTAAAGAGCAAGGAAGGTCTGACACCTTGTCTCGTAGACCTGATTACCAACCCCAAGTGGACGACGAAGTAACTAGTCAACAACACACTATATTATTAAAGGCAAACAATCTTCACATAAATGTGACTTTCATAACGCCAATCGATATTAGCATGAGAAACTGAATTCGCAACCAAATCAAATCAGACCCTCTAGCCATGAACGTAATTAACCAACTAACAAATCACCCTAGGCACAAGCCAGGTAAACGTTCTGACTATCATAAATTTCAGTATGAGGGTGGACTCCTGTTTAGGGAAGGATTATTATATATACTAAGAACACCCAAAAGGTTAGAGGTGTTACGAGCAAGACATGATTCTAGATTAGCTGGTCACTTTGGGATAGAGAAGACAAGTGAATTAGTAACCCGAAATTATTGGTGGCCTAGGTTTAGCTCCTTTATATGAAATTACATTAAATCGTGTGATATCTGTGCCAGATCAAAAACCCTAAGACACCGCCCTCATGGATTATTGATACCCCTATCTATACCCACAGAACAGTGGCATTCCATATCCATGGACTTTATTACTGACTTACCCTTATCTTCAGGTTATGATTCTATCCTCGTTGTAGTAGATCGGCTGTCGAAAATAGCACATTTTATAGCATGTAATAAAAATATCAATGCCGAACAAACAGCCCAGTTAATCTTTAAATAAATAATTGACTTCATGATGTTCCAAGAGATATCGTCTCAGACTGGGGCCCCCAATTTGTTTCCAAATTCTGGAGGCACTTATTTAGTTTATTAGGAGCAAAAATCAATCTGTCATCAGCATATCACCCCCAGTCAGACAGCCAAAGTGAAAGAATTAATCAGGTGCTGGAACAATATCTAAGATGCACAATTAGCTACCACCAAGACAATTGGGTTGATCTGCTTCCGTTGGTAGAATTTGCATACAACAACACCTCTCATGCTTAACTAAAACCTCTCCTTTCTTTGCCAATTACAGCTTTCACCCACATTTTGACCTCCAAACACATTTTCGTTCCTCAGTCCCGTCGGTCGAAGACAAAGCCCTGCATCTCCAACAAATTAAGGCAACAATCATTAGTGAGTTAAGAAAGGCTCAAGAATGCTACAAAGCAAAAGTAGATTTACACTGTGACAAAGCCTTCAGGTTTGAAATTAGAGACAAGGTGTTGTTGTTAAGTTGCAACATTAACACCAAACGACCTTCCAAGAAGTTGGATTATTGCAAGTTGGGCCCCTATACCATCTCTAAAAAAATCAACCCAGTGGTGTATTATTTGAACTTGCCTCCTACGTTCAAGATCCATAACACCTTCCACATTTCTCTGCTAGAGCCCTATATAGAGAACAATATTCCCAGGAGAAGAACGGAACCACCTCCACCTATTATTGTCGAAGGAGAAAGGAAGTTTGAAGTTAACAAAATACTCGACTCCAAGCTAATTAGAAACAAACTCTACTACTTGGTCGATTGGAAGGACTATGATATAAGTGAACATTCTTGGGAACCAGTAGAAAACATAAGTAACGCACAAAAAGCCATCGAAGCGTTTCATCAATGCTACCCTGATAAACCTAGACAAGCAATCAAAAAGGTGAGGGTGATCCATTAAGAGGAGAATAGTGTAACAGTCCACTGTAACAAGCCTGTGACTCTGGAACATAACCTGCCCATCGTGACCTGTCGTGACCTGCCGTGACCCTTCTCAGATAACTTCCAGCACATTAATAATGAAGTTATTAATAAAGAAGTAATTTACCGTAGCATTAGTGGCATGATCAAACGCATAAATTATATAGTCATTGATAATAGCAATTTGTAGTTAAAAATAATATGCGCATAAATTATGTAGTCATAAATTAGTAAATATACAAGTATTAGAAATAGTATCGCAAAAGTATAAAAAAGCATTACAAACCTCTATATACAAACTAGTCTGTTCAATAAAGCTGCCCCGATCTTGTAATAAAGTTTCACTTCTACCTTGTACTTAAACCCTTCCTGGTTCTATATCTAAATATCGCACCTGCCTTGTACTAAGATATTTTCCCTGTTCTGTTTCTTGTTGAGTTCTATTTCAGAAATCAGGATCTTGACATAGAAGATACAAAGATTTTAGAATAGTTAAGTTTGGTAAATAAGATAGTAGTAAATTTGTGAATGAGTTTTTTAAGACTTATTTTAAAATATTAAAAGGAATTATAACTTCATAATTAATATCTGGATTGGTTTTAAAGATAATATTTAAAAGAAATTTAGATCTTATTCTAGCCATTTGGTGAATAATATAATAAAAAACTAATAATAAAAGCTTTTTTGTTTTTAGTAGATGGTTTAATTTTTTTTCTAGATAGAAGTCAAAAAGGTATTGTTTGAAAAAGTTAAATAATTCATGAGAAACTTGTTTTTTTTTTTTTTATATAATATCAAATAGGAAAAATTGATAATACATAAATATATCAATTAGATATAATGTATAACTTAGTATTATTTCTAAACTATACTATTGTTGCTATATATATAATGATATTTAGTATAATATTATCCTCTTATATTCTATTATAAGTTAAATCAACTACACAGAAAAGGATAAAAAGAATTCTATAAAAAAAATTTTAATTTATAAAAACATGTATATATAGTTAATTTTTAGTTAAGTTTTTAGAAAAAAAAATTATCATCAAGTTTATTAATGATATTTTAGATATGTTGAAGAAGTGAATAAAATCAGTTTCTAATATTGTAGATATAATAATTTTAAGTTTTTTAATGATGTATTGGTTTGTTTAATCAAAGTATACTTATTAAGATTCTTTTTTAGTTGGATAATATTATAATAGATAATTATTCTGGTTAGGATTTGTGGATTGCTTGTTTGAAAAGAAGTTTTATTAAATGCTTCTTTCAGGTTAAGTTTAGTAATTTTACTGTTTGTTGTTGTAGATTTAAAGTAAGCTTTAAGATAGTAATAAAAGAAATAGAATGTACATTTTGGGTTAGTAGATGTGTTGTTTAGTTAGATAAAGTTTTGTTCAGATTGGTCAGCTAGTTTATAAAGATCTTTGAAAGGTAAGGTTGTATTAAATGTTGCTAAGATGAGTGTAGAAAAGTTTAAGAATGGATTATATATTTTTGAATAAGTATAGTATTGAAAGATTGTTTAAAATAGTAATAAGTTAGATTATAGATATTATAAGTTATTTTTGGATTAAGAATTTTATATTTTTTCAGATTGGTGCAGGTGTATATGTGATGTATTACTGTTTAGGTAGTATAATTTGTTCAGTTTTAAATGGATCAGGTAATTAGTAGTTCAGGTTTTTGAAGAATTAGTTATTTGTATTCATTATTAGTTGCTGTTGTTATTTGGTATTTGATATAGTTATAGACTTTTTGTTTATTAATATCACTGAATTATTTTTTATAGTATGTAAAGAATTTTTAAAACCAGTTATCGAATTGAGGTTTGATTAAGTAAAAAAGTGAAATATGATAATTTGTAATAAAATTTTGAGTAAAAATATTTATAGTAATATAAATATGAAGTTTGAGAATATTATAGATTTATAAAGCAGAAGTATTGTTTTAGTAGTATTTGAAATATGATTTATGTATATAAAGATTTTTAAATAAATAGATTTAAGTTGTAAGTTATGAAAGAATTTTTAATAATCAATAGTTTGGTATTTGTTATATTGAAATAAATAAAGTCTGGCAAGGTTTATAGCAATTTAAAATCATTTTTTAATTAATTAAAAGGAAATATAATGCAAGATAAAGAGTTATTTGTAGTTTGTTTTATGAAAAAGAGTATAGGTAAATTTGATAGGCCAGTTTTTTGTTATACTAAGAAGTATATTAGAAAGTATATTGTCAATGTTGGTGTGTATAGATTTAAGTTTAAAATTAAATCTATAATAAATTTAGGTTTTTTAGTTGCTATAGTTTAAACTAATGAATTGAAATTATTTTTTATAGTTGGTTTGTTTGTTATTATAAAGTTAATAAATAAGTCAGAATAGAAGTTTTTAAGAATTGGTTTTAAGAAATCTAAGGTTTGAATTTTAGATATTGTGAGTGTAGATAAGGAAACATTTTCTGATATAGGATAACTTTTGAACTAGTCTAAAAAATAGTCTTATTGGATTGTAGTTTGTGAATTTATTTTAGAATAATAATGTTAAAAGAAGATTTAAAATTGAAAATAGTTTGGAATAGAGATATAGAAAAGACTTTTTAAATAGTTTATAGTAAGAGTAAAGTGTTTTATTGTATAAGTACCAAAATAAAACATGTAAAAAGGATGCAATTGGATGAGAAAATTGAGTTTTTTGAAATTAACAGTAAATTTTCCAGGTTTCTTTGAGAAAATTTGAAGAAATATTATATATTT